CAGTGGTCCGCGCGCGCTGTCGCACAGAGCGTAGCCTAACAAAGCTCGATGCGCGTGATGCGCGTGGTGGAATCGGCTTGCGTAACGCACACGCTCGATGCACGCCACGCCGGCTGACCCACATGCGGGGTCTTTATTTAAACTGGTTTCCTCCTCGGCGTTCTTTAGTGCCGTCTTTCGGTTACAATTTCATTAAAAGAGTCATTGGATTCGAATATCGCGCGTTGCAACCTCGCGCATACGATTTCGGACTGCCCGCTGCGGATGTACCAACCTAGGCCGAGTCTATTAATTGCATCTCATCGGCGCGTCCCATTCATTCATTAAGAAGTTCCATATTTTTTTTTCTTCAGAAGATATACTTCATTATGAAAAATGTCTAGGGAAAATATTTCAGATCTTTTAACAAGGAATGGAACACATTTGTGTATGTTTAAAAACAGTACAATATTAAAGAGATAAATGTAATAAACATTAATGTTGTTGTTTTTAATACTTTGTTTCCACTGTTGATAGTAGCAAATTATTATTCATTTTCTTATTAATTTGATAAATAATTGTCAGATATTAATAGATAATAAGACTAAATTGTATTTTTTGTTCGTTATATATTGCACTGCATATGACATTCCTTAAACGTGTTTTAACGAGCAAAAATATTTGTAAATTTATATTGTATTTAAAATACGATCACCACCAAATTTGTGGCACATTTGTGCTGCGTATCGTGTCAAGTACACATGTAATCTTAAAACAAAGCGCGTTTAAAATGTGTCCTAAACTTGGGGACTGTATACAAGCCGTCACCTGAAATATGACTCCCAAAGTGTGAGCACTTACTCGCCGGTGCTACACGCGAGTGTTTCAACTATTAAAATGGAATTTAGACCGACCGTGCTACTGGTGTATTTCCCCCTGCCAGCTACGACCCGTGTTAAACGTTTCTGTCGCTATTATATAGTCTCGAATTCTTCGGTCTCTAACACTGAGGACAGATTTCTTAGACAATACAGGATGGCGACAGAAGTTATTTATTTATCTGGATTGATTTTAGGGTGGCCACATTAACAGTAAATTCATTAATGACCACGAATTGTTAAATATAGAATTATTTACTAGATAATAATACAGTAGTTATATAAATAATCAGTACATAATTTGCAGAATAAACAGTTCCTAATTATAATGTATATTATTTGCATATATTATAGATTTATATAATCCATTTATGTATAAGATTATTTGATTGAAAAACTTTAGCACGTGATGGATACTGTTGAAATCATTCAGGTTAGTCTTCATGTTTGATTTAATATTACGATTGTTTCTTTCAGAGGAGAAACTAGGGAAATTTATTAGTATTTAATAGCTGTCAAAAGTTGCGACTCAAAAGCAGTATATAGTAGTCATCAAAACAGACAAGGGGTCTTAGCAAATATGGATTTAAGAACGATTAGTTCTCGAGTTAGATCAGAAATGTTCTACTATAAGCTTGTAACAAAATAATAAACTCTATTGTATGTTTATTTTATTTTGTTTTATATATTTCTTCGTTAGATAAATTGATACAGTGAGTGGAAAGCTAATGTTCAGGGTTAAACAAAATACTAAGACCTTTTGCTTGCTTTCATGCGAAAACATGGCGGAGCGTGTGTTGAAATGAACCACATTGAACACAGATAGTAGAGGTTATGTTTCACTAATAGAAACACCTTGTAAACTAGAAATATTTAAACTCATTATTACTGAAATACTTTTATTAATTTTGGCAAGTAATCATGCTACCAAAATTATAAAACTTTCGCTAACACTCTATATGTAATAAAATCCAAAACTGACTTAATTTTCTTCTAATTTAAGTACATTTTTTTAAACACATATTTATCGAAGAAAGGTCTCAAAATTTCCAAGCGTTCCAAATGAAATCAGGTCTCCCACTCTGCCGAAGATCGGTTCCTAATATCCCTAACAAATAAACGCATCGCCGAGCGTGAACAGAGGATCGATGCCGCGTTCCTTCCATACAAAGGAGCGCCCACCGTGATAGAACAAACTCGTGGAAACGCGCCGGTGCACCGAATTCCGTGAAACGTGACAAACAAGGAAGAAGAGTCGAGGGAAAAATGAAAGAAGTCTCCGCTGGCGGAGAGCTGAAAGGTTCAACGGTATTCCCATCGATTCGCGGGCAATCCTTTGGGCGGACACGCAGTCTAATGGAACGTGTACACAAGGATGCTAACACCGACGCAGATCTCTCATGTTTGTAACCACTTGTCGAACTATATTCTTGCAACTTTTATTGTCGTGAGTAGAAAGAGAAATGTATGGTACAACTAATTGGAGAATTTATTTTATGTTGATGTTGATTATTAAATTCTATTTTTGCAAAAATTTTTAGTATAATTATACGTCGAAGTTTATGGTTATGAGCCTTTTCTTAAAATAGTTTTTAGGAGAATGTTGAAAATATTGTAGACAACTGTAACTTGGGAATTTTACTCACAAAAGTCATTCTTACTGCACACTCAAAAAATAGTAATCTTTAATGAATTATAATTCCAAAAATAACGTCAATATTTAGCGCGGACTGATAATTATGAACTTATTTTTGTTCTTCATTCATTTGACAAATCTGCTCCAAAGAATTACTCTCCAAAGTATGGAAAAGAAACAAATTTTTCCCCAAGTCATCGATAGGTTACTTGTTACAATATATTTTTGCAATTATTTTATTACGATGTGGAAGAATAGGTAACAAATGAAATGGTAAGAAATGGAAAAAATATGAAAAGATATTTTTATTCATTCTTTTTTTAGAAGGGGGTGCAACTTATTGATCGAGCCCAGTAAAATCCTCCGGTTGAAATTCAGCATAAGATTTCTCGATGGAAAACGATACGGCAGTGACGCGTGTAAACCTTGGGACTAGTTCGAATGCGTCGTGTCGATCTATAGAGATCTATAAAGACCGTTCCCACGAGGAGTGCTACCTACGTTTCCCGAAGCCACGGCATCGTTTCCATATCATGACGCACGTCTCTATCGGGCGAACGAGGAATTTCTATGGATAGTGCTACAATGTATACCGCGTCAGGTGCACCGATTCGCCGATGGACCGATGGAGACACAAGCGAATTGGAGAATCCGGATCGGGAAAAGTGTGTTTAGTTTATTGCTTTCTCTCAGAGTTTGTCGAACTCGATGCATCGCTACTTGTGGATTAAGAGAATTACTGTGCCCCAAAAAAGAAGGTAAAATTTTGTAAAAAGACACACAATAAAGTGATAATAAATTTTTTAAAACGATTTACAGAAATCATAACATTTTTAACATTTTACATTTAACATTAAATGTAATATTTTATTAGAATTTTTATTTCAGCAATGTAAACAAATATTGTATTAAACTTGTAAATTAGCTATAATTATATTTTATTCAATTTAATACTAAGTTATGTGAAATAATGTGTAATTAAGAATTATTATCTATTATCTACGATAATAGACGTTCGTAGTAATAACTAATAAAATGATAACTGAAGTCAACAACGATTAATTATATATATATTGAATAAATATTAATACTAAAGAGCGTTGACCAAAAGACCTATAAATATAACAAGAAAGAATAGTTGCTCATAACTGAATACAATAAATAACTTCCCGAGATACCCTTTGTGTCTCTGTAGCTAAAACTTGATAAATATTTAAAAGAGTCAGAGCATTCTTTAACATTCCAGATTCGACGCCTGTTCAGTACCACTGACACTTTCCTCAATCTTCAAGAATACATTTTCATGTTTATGAATGAAACATTGCACATTCAACCTGCTACCAATGGATTCATATATACATCTCTCTTTTACCCATTTCACGAAACACGCTGAAAAATTTCCGAAATTCATACAGCCAAGTAGTTCTACGAACCGAAAAACATGAATACTGGTTAAACCAATATTAACATATTTTTTAATTTTCAAAGTGCAAGTTTTCAGAACGAATAAAAGAAAAAATATTTGATATATTGAAAACAAAAGAAATCAAAGTATTTTATGATTATTACATCTCCATATTCCAGGATTTCATTCGTTTTAAAATTTCTGAAAATTTATTTCAATAGAATCATCTGTCTTTTGTATTTTATCCTTTCATTATTCCCCGCATTTAAATTCCTGAATAGAGATTATTAGCGCCGGAAAATTAATTATTAAAAGTACAAAAATACGGTTTGCTCAGCTACGCGGCAAACGTCTATTTCATGAAGGAACCTACACAGACTCAGCGACACGATGACAGTCCTGGATTATTAATGGACGGCAAGCTCGTCTGTGCCTTTTACGAGGGACGATTAGTTGCATATTTGATGAAACACAGATCGAACGGGATGGACGCACTATCGTCGCCCTTTTTCGCGGTAACACGACAACTACGGGTGCTATCGCCCATCAATATTTGTATGCTCATAGTGTTCACTAAAGAACGAACAGCTCATCGAGGCATCGTGTATCACAATACTTTACTACGAAACTAGATTTTAAAAGCATTTTCGGTACAGAAACAGCCGCCGCTTGATAAATAACCAGCTACACCGTAAAATTTACCGTTATTTTGTATCGATTGAGAATGCATTTGTTATCGCATACTAATGGCAAAACGGAATGTTAACGAAACGCTTTTACATGGAATATTTTCCTCAAACGAGACGAATATTGAAATAGAATTCTTTAATGGGAAACGTGGCAAGAGATATTTGTGAAAGAACACAATCACTTTACCATGTGTAATTAATTTAATTCCTGAGAGTAACTAAGAGAAAATTGATGAAGAATTTCAGAGAATGTTTTAAGCAAACATAATTATATGAAAGCATGATTAATTAATTAGTTAGGAAGAATCTTCACAAAGTGAAGAATAATAGAAGTGTAAAGAAAATTGCATTGCGTTTATAAATTGGAGGCTTAATTTGATAGAAATGTCAATTAGATCTCCCTGGTTACATACCGAGTTGATGGCTGTCATACTGCTAATTTGACCTGGATCTGTGTTCACTAGCCCGTTGTCACTCTACAACAAAAAAGAAAAAAATTGTCAGTTAATTGCAGAAACAGGGAAGCTATCCTACAATTGTGATTGATATTCTTGGCAAAGAACAATGCAAACTGTGTTCAAAATTCATTACAAAATTTTACTACGAATATATTAATAAATATCCATTAACATCAATATAATTATATCAATTATATCAAGTCAACCTTATGTTCATTATATTTTATATACACTGAGTTAAACAAGTTCCAATTCTCAATACTAATAAACAAAAATGCAACAAAATGTAAATATATTTCAAGTAATATCACTAAGTAGTGAATTTTTTCCAGATCCAATATTTATTATAAAAAAATAAAAACACAATTTCTTAACATTAGTTGGCATTGTTCATACAAATTTATTGAATTTAAGTGGCGATCTTTTAAACTATAGCATCTTGTTAAAAAAATTGTGATATCCCAATGGAATTTCACTGAAAATCATGTCAGAAATTTCGCAACGAGTACAAAAGAAAGAAAAAAGAAATGAAAATACCATAGGTGAAAAATGCGCAACTGTTAATTGAACTCGTTAGGGTCACCGTGAGCTTCTCAGCGACTCGTAAGTGGTAACATGAAAGTTTCTCGCATCGCGAATTTTCAAGAACGAAGTTAAATGTGGGGTGACGCAAGTGCACTCGGCGTCGGGACATTTATTTTCTATTTTTTTTATTTTTAATCGCCGCCTGGTCGCAATTAAAATTTCAGCGCGTCGAAAATGTTCCTCATTTGACCCTTGAAACCGCCTCGTTAAATCGGGATATTAATTAGGCGGCGTGAGCGTTGCTCGAGTACCATCGAAAACTTTCTCGAACCGAAGGATCAGCATCGATGTCGTTTATAATTGTAATTTATTTAGGAACAACCTGAATACAGAGAAAAGTTCATCTTGTTACATTAATCTCGGAGTATCAATGAGAAACTGTGAATCTGATGACATGAAAAATCTATTTTGTAATCGATCTACACCCATCGAAAGATTCGTACTCTCGTGTTCAATATTGCATAAAAATAGTACATAATACGAGCAATATGTTTTAATAATTTTTGGAATTTATGTCTGAAATTTCGTAATTTGCACAATGTTTAAGTAATAAATAGTATAAATGATATCATTTACAGGAAAGAAGTTTTACTTAAGAAAAATACTTAAAACAGAAGTAATTTCATCTTTTTCAACAAACATGACTATAACTATATAAAAGTGTCACAGAAAAATTGTCTATGTATAAATACCGTATAATATTGTACAAAAAGAAATAAACTCGATTTATGATTAAAGATAAAATATAAATACAATTTTATGGAAAGTTAAAAAAAAGATATCTACGTTCTCTGTAAAAACTGCCACTTCCTTTAGTAATGGCATGAATATGCATAAGTTTATCGATTATGTAAAGCGAGTAGGTCAAATGTATTTTTCTTTCAGATTGTATTCAACCAAAGAAACCAAACAAACGGAAAAGTTTATATTATTACAGAGATCACAATATTAAAGTATTATAATACTGATTATAATTTTAGGTATTTATAATATATATGAACTTACAAAACCAATATACATTAATCGCCAATCTTTAACGAAAATTATGATTTGTTCTCAATTTAATAAGATCTTTAATATTGAATATAAATGTCTAAATCAACATCACTGTTATTTCGATTAATTGTGAAATATACTGCTCGAAGTGATCAGAGTACAAGAAGTATTTTACGCGAAACAAATAGAGCCATTTAGAATGACAGGAAAAGGAACAGGGTAAGAGTTATTCATGTTTCTCCATAGCGGAAGTTCTCCGTCTCGAAAAGAAAATACAACCCAGTTTCGACTTTTTCAAGGTTTCGAAGTCTCGCCAAGTTTTGTGTTCCATCTCGATGCGCGACTTAGAGTCGTTCGGCTTGCTAATGTTACCACGTGCTTTTAATTCTTCTGTACTGCCGCTTAAAACCATCTATCTTCCCTAATGTTCGTACCGAGCATTCAGCAAGAAAGCTAATAAATACTCGCATTGAAAATAGACGAGGAAACTCACGGATTAGTTCGTTTCGAGTTTAAAGGCTGATACGTTGATCGATTTCGATTGATTTTAATTAACGTGTCACTGTAATTGAAACGTCTTTTGTTACAATTCATTTATTCCCGTTGAACTGGTGTCAGGGTTGACACTTTATCCACTGGTGGCCTTCTAAAAGTCAACAACAGAAACCTTAAGAACTGTTTAGTAACATTATCAATGTCCATTTTTGAAAGAAAATATTCCCCAAAATAAACAATATACTTGAAGTATATTCTCTCGTTGAACTCGAGTAACTGATACTTTATCTGCCAGTAGTCTTCTAAAAAACAATAATGAAAAATTTCTTAAAATTTCTAAAAATAAGGATTTCTCAACTTTCTTGAAGAAAATATCCTTGTTAAACAATTAATACAATTATATTCTAAAACTATAACACGATTTTATTCAATATTCGCGACTTACTCCTTTAAGAAGAGTAACTACCCTTCAGGATGTACAAGCTACGCTACACCCCGTATAATGTAAATGTCTTTTTTCATCCATTAACTGCAGCTATAATATCTTGTTACACCGATCGTTAATTTTCTTCTGTGCCACAGCAATATATTTTCCTCGTTATTTATACCTCTAATGAGCTTTCACATGTATGGAATCCATTAATAATATTATTAGAATTTAAGAGGTTTGTGTAATCGAGGTTCGCCGGGGATCCACGATTATTGATCATCGGGGTAGCGTATAAAACGAATGTTAAAAATCAAAAGTGGCTTCATCTTGCGCGCGACCATGCCGGCTAAATTACGGGCGATGGAGTTGTTGCCGTTTAATGTCCCCGACGACGGAAGAAGGTTCTTAAAATCGTCTCGTCAACGGACGGGAAGAGCAGAAACGGGGTAACATTCGTTTAACCGCCGTTTTACGAGTGCGTCGTGACTACGAGAACGTCTTCGTTCAGTGACTCCGGCACGAAACTAAATCGCCCCCTTTCGTCCGCTCGATCGGGAATTATATTCACTTCATTTTTCTTCGATTAACCCCGTTACAATTCGATGGAACGATAAAGCAAATGATCCACAAATATCTACCTCTGTGCATTTTAAACTATTATTATTTATTGCGAATAGGATTTAATAAACGTTTAAGAAAATAATATTTAAAGTACAGTAAAATAATATTAATATTTAAGTTTGTTTAAGGTAATTAAATTGAAAAGTTTCTGTTATACGTGAATATGAATTAGATTCAATTTCAAGCATAAATTATATTATTATGTTTTAATACCTTATTTGGTCATTTCTTCAATTTTCTTAAAGTAAATTTTACTCCATTGCAATTGAATTCAATGATAAAATATTTTTTTTTTAATTTACAGCTGTTGTCACATATGTTACTTCGCTAGTTATCAGTTGACTATTACGTTTCGCTAGTGGTCATCTATCGGTATAGCAAAAAATTAAAGTTCTGCTGTGAAGTTTGAATAACACTTTCAATGTTTCTTTAGATGATTAAATATGCAAAATGTCGCACGGGTTCCGTACAAGCTCTGCCAATACATTCCGCATCTAAAAATAAGACTAAATCGTCATATATCGGAAAGTCCATAAAATTAGGCAAAATCGTAGGAAAATTTAGCCCATAATAAATTTCACATTACCCAGATACCAGAATATAAACATCAAAGAACCTAATCCATTCCTAACCCGAATTTCCATCGACAGAATTAGCTAACGTTTCAAAATACGAAGGCGAGCATTTCCTCCACGTTCTAGGTATTCTCTTATAATGAAATACATCTACCACATGTACCCTCGTTTTTAATAATTTGCTATCAAACTCTCCTCCAAAAACCGATTCCATATTCCGGCTTCATTCCTTAAACGACCACAAAGAAAACTAAACAAAAACCTTATTTCTTCTACTTAACGAGTTAACTGCGTTTGATGAGTATGCACGTTACCTTAACTATTCTTGGAATCATACTAATTCTTTCAATGATGAATTATTTATTTTTTTATATAAACATGTAATTCTTCTTTCTTTTGCTTTGGTTTTTGATTAAAATATACCCTAGGTGCAAGGTCCTGCGATTGATAAGTAAATACACACTTCATTTTTTTATTTCGTTGCGCACAAAACAAGAAATTTTTCAAACTAAATTCCACCGGTAGTAGGTTAATTCGTCAGTCTATTTTACACATTTATCATACAATTATTCCTCTTTCAATACTCTATGTAAATCGATAAACAAGAATTCCAATTACCATTATAAGACTGTTGAACAAAATTAATTTTAAAAATGGATTCAAAGGACATCTTCTCTAAGGATTAAAACAATACAACAAACAACCACGCAAAAATCTCTCAGCGTAAGCAAAAACTCCATTACCCCAACGCTGAGCTTAGGGGTCAAGCTATCCCGAAAAACAGGAAGGAGCCCAAAGGGTCGGAAAAACGCGGGGTGGATTGGGGGAGCGCGAAATCCCGCGAAGTTTGACACGTAAATTTATTCGAGCATAACCGATCTGGCAGACGTTCAAGACGGACGCTCCACCTACCCATAGGGTAGAGTCCACCGCTGTTTTACGATCAAAGTTCAGAACGACATTTGCACCGAGGCTCTTTCGTCCCGGTTCCGTGGCCGACGCCGTCGTCGCCTTTGTACTATTTCTTCCCTGTGGTGCCTTCCATTCCCCTTACCCTTCCTCAACCCCCCTCCGCCAACCCCCTTTGTCGGACATGCTTCGATGATTCTTGGGAGCCAACACGAAGCACCGTTTCCGTCTAGCTGCGAGCACAGAATTTCCATCTCGGTAATCCTGACCGGTTTTTCCCGTGACCCCGCTCCTCCTACAGGATCGACCTGAGCCGGGAACAGCCGTTCCTCTACTCCATGATCAGGACACTGGAATTTTTGCCGGACGCTGGGCCGAGGTACCAACACGGCTTAACACATTCATTA